GCATTTAACCTTCATATTAAACCAATGCAGAAGGTATGGTCCCAGCTCAGAGAGGTTAAGAAACCTTACAGAGGTCTCATTGCTGGCAGGCACCGGACACATAATTTGAATTAAATCTGCTTAACTCCAAAGCCTCCATGCCACTCCTTCTGATGTGGGCTACCAGAATTTTTCCTGTGTTGCAGAGAGGCAAAAAGGCCACTATTTAAGAGACAGGGTCTGGGTGTGGCGGCTCACGGGTGTAATCCCAGCACTTTTTGAGGCCAAGGCAGGCAGATCGCTTGAGTCCAGGAGTTTGAAACCAGTCTGGGCAAGATGGTGGAACCTCATTTCTACAAAAAAATACAAAAATTAGCTGGGGGTAGTGGTGCACACTTGTAGTCCCAGCTACTGGGGAGGCTGAGGTGGAAGGATCACTTGAGCCTGAGAGGTTGAGGCCGTGGTGAGCTGACTGCTAACCCTGATTGCCTTCCTAGATTGTGCCACTGCATGCCATCTTGGGTGACAAGAGTGAGACCCTGTTTAGAAAAAAAAAGGAAAGAAAAAAATAAAAAAGGATAGGGTTTAGGTTCAGGTTGGCCTGGATGCAAATTGGTGCAAATTACACAATCTCTCTGAACTTTCATTTCTGTCTGCATCTGTAAATAAGGATAATGATGAAGATTCGGGGCAGATTAAATAAGAATATGCATGTCTAGTATTCAGCACAGTGCGTGGCACATGGAAAGCACTTGATAAATGTTAGCAATTAATGTAGAGGAGGAGAAAGAACCACAAAGTATTTCATCATTTGCTTTTGTTAGTAGCTCAAGGAAATGGTGGCTCATCATTGTTAATAGAGCCTGCTCAGGATTGAGGCTGAAGAGGGGAAGGGTGGGAGTGGGGATAGGATAGGGGAGTGGCTCTACCTGGATTGGAGAAAGGAGTCCTAGACATAAAGATTTAAATTGGTGTCCAGGGAGTTCTCACGAGGCCTCGGCTGGAAAACAGTTAAACGTGTCTTCTGACCACTAACCCAGGTTTCCTCCAGAGAAGGAAAACCAAGTGGGTGGCAGACAGGGTGGGAGGGAGACTTCTTGCTGTTTATTTGAATTTGGAACCATGTGAATGCATTCAACCTATTCCAAAAGAATAAATTACATTTAAAAATGATCTTTTGCTATGGGGATAAGTGCTGAGAATGGTAAGACTAGGATCTAATGATAGTAATAATAATAATAGTAATTCCATTATACTTTGTGCAGCCCTAGGAGGGCTTCAGTCATGCAGGACAGGTTTTGAACTAAGATTGGGACTTTTTCAGCCTGACTCTGATTTCAAAGATCCAAGCTAATATTTTAATTTCAGTCACCATCCTTCTGACCCTGTTTTTAGAAACAGTACAGACCCAGTGCTCATGGACTTGGTTTATTCAACCTGTGGATTGGCTTCAAGAGTATGCATTGTTGGAAGTCAAGTCTATTGGTAAAATCAGGGATGCATTGTCTGTGCATCTGCCGGTGCTTTCCCAGTCCTTTAGGTGCTCTCTCTCTCTCCCCCCATATATCTATCTATCTATCTATCTATCTATCTATCTATCTATCTATGTATCTATCTATCTATAATTTTATTTTTTGAGACAGAGTCTTGCTCTGTTACCCAGGCTGGAGTGCAGTGGGGCAATCTGATCACTGCAGCCTCAACCCCATCATCCTCCTGTCTTAGCCTTCTCAGTAGCTGGGACCACAGGCATGCACCACCATGCCTGGCTAATTTTTTATTTTTTAATAATAAACGTGGAGAGGGTCTCTCCACGATGCTCAGGCTGGTCTCAAACTCCTCAGCTCAAGTGATCTGCCTGCCTCATCTGCCCTAAGTGCTGGGATTACAGGTGTGAGCCACTCTGCATGGCCCCACAGATTTTTTTTTTTTTTTTAATGCTTCAATCAGCTAAGACTCTGGGACTCTGGCGATCTGTTTTTCCAGAGTCCTTTGGAAGGTGGGGGGAGGGTACACAACCCTATTCACAAATATTAGTAACTTGCTTTAAACTCTGTTCTAAGGCCTTACATAAAATAACTAATTTAAACCTCACAATAACACTATACTGAAGATATGAATACTGTCATTCCCATTTTACAGGCAAAGAAACTGAACCAAGTGGTTAAGTAATTTGCCTAAGGTCAGAGCCTGCAGAGCTAACCATCTGGCATTACTATCCCTCTGCTGGCAATGAACAGAGTGGGCCAAGAGTGTAGGGTGTAAGGGGTCCTTTGAAGATGACAAAAACGTCCTTGGCTATGTAGCCGCAAATTCCAAATCCCTCCTTCTCTGCAGCTTCCGGCTTAGGAGCTGGAAAGACAGGCTGTGAATTTCCACATTGACCTGGGGCAACTAACTTACTCTCCCGAATAGGTTCCTTATCTGCCTCGGGGAGGAGTTTTAGATTAAAAGGGTGTGTGTGTGTGTGCTGGGTGTGGGAGGTGGAGGGGCCGAGTTTTCTGGGCGGTGCGATTTTCCCAGGTCTCGTTTTGAGGTTTTGTCCTAGCCAGCTCCCGCTCAGGTCCCCGGGCGGTGATGGTGGTCAAGCTTAGCTTGGCTGGTCCTTCTCCGCTTGGAAAAAGGCCGCCACTGGGGCCATCTCCGGCCACAGCGCTGCAGCCAGGAGACCTATCGTAGGTCTTTTCCCCTGAGGTAGTTAGAGACCTGGGTGTACCCTCAGGAAGGCATCTTGAAGTTACTGACAGTTGAGTCAAATCTTGAAGGTCCAGCAGGAGTTAGTAAGAACAGGTGGAAGGGGAAAGGTTAGGCTCCCCTTCCTCCACCCCTCGAACAAAGAAAGCTCGACGGGGCTTACAACATCCGAGGAAGAGCTGGCCGGGTGAAGAGGTCTGTAGAGGCGAAATCACAACTTGGCTTTATTCTAAGGGCAATGGAGGAGGGTTTTGAAGGCTTTAAAAGAATGTCAATAGGAGTTTTAGGAAGACCCCCTCTAGTCGCTTGGGAGGAATGGGTCGGAGGGGGACAGGAAGCTATCGCAGAAAGCAGCCCACTTGGAAGATGACCGAGGACTGAGGAAAGAGGGCGGGGGACGTCGAGCATCTGAAGTCTTTCCCAGTCGCCGCCAACACTGTGCGCTGTCCCTCAGCTTTGCTTATGTGGAAGGGCTCCATAAAGGGCTGGGCACGCGCCAAACGCTCATTAAGCGAAATAGCCCAGGTCCCCTCCTCTTTCAGGGACTCTCTGGTCCACGTGCCCCAGAATTGGTAGGGTAGGCGGGAGGACTTTCCACTGCTGAAGATGGAGAACCGTTACCCCTCAAAAAACACAAAAACCTCGCGTGCTTTTGGCAGCAGTCTCCTCCGCCCATGACCTCATGCTTTAAGCTCCCATATAGCCTCCCTCCGCCCAATCCACACCCAGCGCCCGGGTGGGGGTGGGGTGGGGGACACTGGCGAAGGTCTGGGTTGCGGGAGGTCATTCTTCTTGCGCGAGATTTTGGGGGAAGGGGCGCAACGATTTCCCCCATGGAAAAAAAAAATGGATGGTGTAACTTTCTGTAGTGCAAAAAATACTGTCTTGCCCTCGAGACAGATGCCTCGAACCCGGCTCGAGGTGGTCTGTTTAGCTGAACTACCTTTGGCTCACGTTTCCACTGACCAGGAAAGAAGCTTGGAAATGCAGGGATATCAGGCCAGGTTCCCTGGCACCTGGGCCGACCACTGCCACGCCTTCGCGGGACCTGGGGGCAGTCCTGCTGTTGCCCTCCACCCCCCGCCCGCACCGCCAAGGTTTGAACCTTTGGCTCGCCTTTCAGCCCGCGCCCTGCCCCCTGCTCGCAGCTGCTCCCGGTTTGGGTGCAGCGGTTTCCCCCGCAGAGGAGGAGGAGGCAAGAGCGACGGAGCGACTCCGGGCTCGGGTTTCCGCACCAATGCCGAGCAGCCCCGGGCGGCCCCCGGCGGCCTTCCCTCCTCCCCGGCACCACGTTCCACAGTCATGGCGCGCGAGGAGGGGCGAGCGCGCGCGGCGGCTGCACCCGCGCCCCCTCTCCTCCCCTCCCCTCCGCCGCCCGGCCCCTCTCCTAGGCAACCTCCCTCCCTGGCCTGCTGCGCCCGCCGCGGCGATGGAGACCCCTCCCCAGAGAGCTGCTCTTCCAGCGCGGTCTACTGCACCCCTTCCCCGCCCCCATCGGGGCGGAGGGATGGAGACGCGCGCTTCGCGAACCTCCAGCCCCTTCTCCGGAGCCCCAGCCCTCTCCCAGCCCCACCGAGGCCAGGGTGCAGTGGGGGTGGGCGCGGACCGTCTCCTCGCAGCCCGCCTCGACCTCGGCATCTTTGCAGACCCTTAGAAAAATAAACAAACCCCCTCCCAAACCCCAGTCGTTTGCTTGCAAAGCGCGTTACAATAACCGGGACGGCTACGCAGGAAGCAATCCTGCACTGGTCTGGGTTTAAGGCGGCAGCTTCCCGGCCACGCTGCCTTCTCCCCGGCCTCGATTTTCCGGCCACGCCGGAGAGTCCGCTGCACCTCGGGGCTGACAGGTCCCGCTCGCGCAGGGCCGCAACTGGGCCCGTGTCCCCCGTCCCATCCTCGTCCAGAGACTCGCCAGCCTACAAAAGGTGCAACCTCACGCACACGCAAAGCGCACAAATAAAGTCAGCAGCGCACCGCCGCGAAGGCTGCGAACAATGCGCCGGGCTGCCCGCGCCCGCCGGAGCGCTGCGCCCCGGGGGAAAGGGGACGCGGGCGGGGGCCGCGGCGGAGGACCAGCCGGCCGCGGCGCTGGACACCTTACTTCCTGCTTCCCCGCCCGCGGCCAGACCCAGCTCTGCGGAGGGATATCTCTCCCCTCCTCGGTCCCTCTCCCTCCCTTCCCCCGCCCTCCCCCCTTTTTGCTCCTGCTCCCCCCCCCACCCCGCCTTTCTCCTTTTGCAAGAAAATAATTTGACAGTCGATTTGCTGACAGGGGAGGAATTTGCATCCTGGATTTAAAAAAAAAAAAAAAAGGCCGAGAGGAGCTTGGGAACGGTTGCTAGGGGTGGGTAATGGGTGAAAAAAGGGGGGTACCGGGGAGCGGATAAGGAGGGTTAAGGGAGGGGGCGAGGATGGGGAGCAATGCAAAGGTAAGGCCAGGTTACCGCGGCTCGGCCCCGAGTGGGCTGCGGCCGGGGGAGGGGCGAGAGATACATATGTATTTCTGTCTCCCCAGCACACCCCCTTCCCTCTAAGCGATGGCTGAGAGGCGGTGCATGCAGATGGGGAGTAAGTTTCCTGAAGGGGAGGGTGGATGCACGCGCGCAGCCCGGCGCTGCAAATTTCCACCGGGGAGGGAGAACGGCTGGATGCGGAGAGTTTGGAGTTGCTTGCGGCGGAGGGCAGGAAGGGGAACAGGGCTGGGAAAGGGGGCTGGCGGGCGCTATATCTGGGAGTAAGTTTCCAGCATCAGGAGAGCCTGCACGCTTGCTCACTAGTAAGTTTCTGGCCGGGGAGGGCGCATGGGGAGGAGGAGAGGGAGGGGTGCATGTATATAGAAGGGGGGAGGGGGGGAGCAGATTTCCTGCGGGGAGGCTGAATGCATATGGAGAGTAGATTTCCTGAAGGGAGGGTGGAGGCGTAGACGGACCGAGTAAGTTTCTTGCTGGGGTGGTGGAGGAGGTGGTGGGTTGGTGCTTTGGAAACCCAAAGCTTCCTACCCCGGGTGGGGGAGCACACTCTTGCGGCGGGGCGAGGGGCCAGGTTCCCTGCTGGGGAGAGGGGCTTGCATCTGGGGAGTATGTTTCCTGGCGGAGCGATATTTGTTTACAGGCTGAGGGCAGTACTGTAAGTGAGTAGCGCTGAGAGAAGGCGGCTGACATAAATTAATATTGAAATTACTCCATCAGCTCTGCTCGCCCCCCATCTCACCCCCCAAGCGGAGACTGGTCTTCTCGTCGGATTGCCCATGCACTTGTTGCAGAAACAGCCAAGGTAGGCAAGAAGCTTATTAAGTTTCATTTTTAAAAAATTAGTTTGGGGATGCTCCTCTAGAAGACGGGGGTGGGGCGGAGTGGGGAGGGAAGAGTGGGGAGACAGAGAAGGAGAAGTCTCCCCCCCTTTACTTTCACTATGCAAGCAGGGCCTTCTCTCTTCTTCCCTTCTTCCCTCTCCTCTCTCTGGGCTGCACAGCATCCCAGCAAAGGGGGAGGGATGAGATGGGCGCTATAACTGGCAACCCTGGCTTAAAGGTAGTGATGGTGGGCTTGCATTTGAGATTGTGATGTTATAAAGGCTTCATTCTCCAGCTCAGAAACCGCAGGACTCTGCCTTTTGGGGTTTTTGACATGATGCATATGTGTATGTATACGCGCCTGCGGGCTCTGTGGGGGCTGGGTACTCCCCAGAAGTTAGTGTGGCCACCCAGATGGGAGCAGTGTGTAAGGGGGTAAACCTGTTCCTTCATTCCCCAACTTCAGTTTGGGAAACTGGGAAGTTACTGCCGGTGGTCTTAAGAAACAGATACTAAAAACCAAACCAAACCACTCATTCACTGGCGGAGGCCGAGAGCACCTGGCAGGCAGCCTCTGGGCAGCACTGGACTGGAGCATGTGCGCCTGCCATCCTTAGCTTACAAGAAAACGCTTTCTGGTTCCTCCGTGTGCCTTCCACTGGCCTGTTAGAGCCAGCTTTGTGGAAACTCTTCCCCAGACTGGAGGCAGCTTTGGCAACTGCCCGTGCTGAAGGGGGTGTCTTCAAGTCAGAGTGGCCTGGGCTGTCTTGTGAAGTGCGTGGAAGTCGTGCTTAGGAATGACTGCCCGGGAGTGGCTAAAGAGTTCATTAAAAAATGTCTCCCGAAAACCGGTCCAGGTGCACTTTTCAGCAGGTCACGGAGGAGAGCTTTAAGAAGGGGAGTTTTAAGTTGTCCCAGTTAGCACCCACCTTCTGCATCACTGACCCTTTTAAGAAAGGAGTTTGGCTATAGGAAGTGTGGTGTTGATGCTCACTAACTGGAGAGGATAACAGCAGGAGTCCTCAGCGCTTAACTAGTTAACCAGCAGCCTTTGCCTCTCCTTCCCTCTGTTTTCTTGGTCCTCAGCCTACTGGTGTCTGCAGAATAGTTGTAGGTCTTGGCTGTCAGCTACCTTGATGATGCTGGGAGTTTTAACTTTGCTAGGATAATTTTAGCATCTGAGGTCCAACCCAGAGACGTTTAGTAGGGTTAGGGAGTAGCCACTAGGCAGTGGGGTTAACTAAGGTTGGTTAAGCTTTCTGCAATTCTGCAGACAGGCTCTGTTCTAGCAGGGTCGAGAAAAATGGGTTTTAAAAAACTCACTACACATTGCTGATGGAGAGTGCTTTTTTTCTTTCCTAACTGTCGTCAGATTTCCAGATTGAGGGTTGATACTTGGCAGTTTGAGAGTTGAGTTAGTTGGGAATTAAATATTATTGCTGCTTATCAAATGTTCCTAACTAGGCATTAGTTAAACAAATTAGCTGTTATTTTTACCTGATGAAAATCTGAGTCTGGTTGTTGTATTTGCTGGGAGGGTAAACAAAATCTTTATGTATGTTCATTCCAGGGTGGAATTATTTACATGCCTAGCCTCAGAGCCAAGAGCAGTCATTCAGGTTTTTTTCCTTATATTTATGAGATTTATTTTATTGTCTTGCTTTGGCCATTAATCAAGTCACAGTAGGTTTTTTTTTTTTTCTCTTCTACCGAGAATGTTCTTGTGGTAATAAAGGTTTGAAGGCCCATGAATCATAATTCATTCTTTTTAAAATATTGCGGTGATTGTCAGGATCTGATTTATAGGAATTGATACCCAGAGTGACACACCTCTCTGGGCTCCGCCCTTTTAGGCATGTCCGTTTTCGCCAAAGGATTGTTTAGAAGCCAGCTTGACATCCCAAAAAGAGCATTTCCCTTCTGCTGTAGGAGAAGATTAATTTTGCAGGTTCCATAGTAAACATGGGTCTTTTCACAGCTTGGTAAGCAGGCTTCCACATAGCAGGCATGTGTTATTATCACATAGCATTTATGTGAGCTTGCTGTGAAAACAGTTGTTCTATGAACTGTGTGGAAAGTACTCAGTTTTGCCTCCTTTAACCGGCTTGGGCCTGTGGTTTTTGTTGAGTTAGGAACTTAAAGTGTAAAAGAGGAGACAGACTAGTGTTTTTTGCTGCTTATGTAATAAAATGTGTGGTCACAAAAAATAAAGCTTGTTTATAATTTTCTTTTTCTCCTTCTTTAATGGGTGGGTTGGTCATAATAACCGAAAGCGGTTTTTTTGTTTGTTTGTTTGTTTTTTGTTTTTTGGCAAATGTAAGGATTCTCCTTGAAGTTGATTAGCCAGGAAGTGTTAAAATTGTCTTGTGTTCAATAGTTGGCTCAAGTTTACAGTATTTGGAAAGTGACAAAGAACTTAAACGTGGTTCATGCTCAAGACTGGGGAAACATCACTGGAAGGAAAGGTGGGGAAAGTACCAATTTGTAGCCATTTCTGGGCTTTGGATTTTTTATCTTAAAAGTGCGTGGTTTGATCCGTGAGTTCCCTTCCGGCTCTGAAATTCTGTGTCTTGTAAACGAGGTCTCCAGAGGTCTTGACAGTCTCTTCCTGAGCCAACGGCCAATTGCTTCATGGACTTGGGTGAGCTGACTAACTTCTGTTTTTGTCTTTTCATGGAGAAAGTGGATTTGATCCTTGGTATTCCAGAAAGGATTCTTGAGTGGCCTGGTGATCTTGACCATCAAACACAAGGAAATAGTTGTGAATAAAGTATTTTTGACAATGCCAGTCAAAAAAAAAAAAATGCCAGTGTCTTGGACAAAAAAAAATCCCAATTCTATGCACTAACAGAGAGTAGAGCATGTATATATCCTTGGCACCAAAAATAATTTCTGTTCATCTTAGAAGTTTCTTCTCCAGCCAGCTGGTTAACTTGTCTAAGGTCAAGTCTAAGGTTAACTGAGTTCTTATTCCCAGGCAGCAGGAGGAGGTAGCTTTGGGGATAAGCGGGAGACCAGAAAGCCCAGTGTGCCTTTGCCTGCTTTCTGTGGGTAATTGGGATTTGGCTGAATATTTGTGATAAGGTTCATAATAATGATATAGTATCATTTTTTATCACCAGGATTCTCTGTATTTCACTGTGGGCATTTTTGGGAGAAGCTCTTGATGTTTTTATTGATTTTGGACATTGACATGGAAAGTAAGGATTTAGGGCTGGGTGCGGTGGCTCATGCCTGTAATCCCAGCACTTTGGGAGGCTGAGGCAGGCGGATCACCTGGCCAACATGGTGAAACCCTGTCTGTACAAAAATGCAAAAATTAGCCGGGCATGATGGTGGGTGTCTGTAATCCCAGCCACTTGGGAGACTGAGGCATGAGAAGCACTTGAACGTGGGAGGCAGAGGTTGCAGTGAGCCGAGATCACGCCATTGCACTCCAGCCTGGGTGACAGAGTGAGACTCTGTCTCAAAAAAACAAAAACAAAAACAAACAACAAAAAAAAGAAAAGTAAGGATCTAGGCAAGTGGCTCATGCCCAGGTGGTATAAGTGGGTGCTTGTGGTCCTACTCTAAAGGCAGTTGAATTCAGCTTATTTTATTTCTGACCTCATAAAACCGTGTGGCTGAGGGAGGAGGGAGGATTAAAATCATCTGGGATCTTGTGGATGAATGATATTTCTGAATTTGCATGTTGGAGGGAAACCAATGAAATAAAGGAGAACTAACATATAGTTGATTTCTTTTGTGGAGAGAGGAGGACAAGAACAACTGGATTCTAGTTACTGGCGTGCGTTGCCGCAAGGGTGCTGTGGGCATTTTTAAGGAATAGTATAGTCTCAGTAACATGAGTTTGACCCCAGGGCTCTCTTAATAAATCTTTTCTTCTGGGCTAAAGAAAACACACAACAAAAAGCCTCTGTGGTATTTTCTAAGAATTTTAAGTTCTCAGAGTAGCTGCTTGTAGTAATTTGGTTTACTGAAGAAACAGATGATTCTTGGTTTTTCGTCATGGAAGACAATGAGTTGGCAAGGAGTAGCATATGCTGAGCTGTTGGGGTATTGGTTTAGCAACATAAACATTTCTTTTTAAATGTTTGATAGGCCGGGCGCGGTGGCTCAAGCCTGTAATCCCAGCACTTTGGGAGGCCGAGACGGGCGGATCAGGAGGTCAGGAGATCGAGACCATCCTGGCTAACACGGTGAAACCCCGTCTCTACTAAAAAATACAAAAAACTAGCCGGGCGAGGTGGCGGGCGCCTGTAGTCCCAGCTACTCGGGAGGCTGAGGCAGGAGAATGGCGGGAACCCGGGAGGCGGAGCTTGCAGTGAGCTGAGATCCGGCCACAGCACTCCAGCCTGGGCGACAGAGCGAGACTCTGTCTCTCAAAAAAAAAAAAAAAAAAAAAATGTTTGATAGAGCGGGAAGGGGACAAAGAACCCATGTGCCTAAATAACAGTGATAACTCTGGGCTCAAAGAACGAGGGTTTTATTCATTTGTTTGTTTGTTTGTTTGAGACAGCGTCTCACTCTCTCACTCAGGCTGGAGTGCAGTGGCTCAATCTCAGCTCACTGCAACCTCTGCCTCTTGGGTCCAAGTGAACCTCCTGCCTCAGCCTCCCAGGTAGCTGGGATTACAGGCGTGCGCCACCATGCCCAGCTATTTTTTATTTCATTTTAGTAGAGACAGGGTTTCACCATGTTGGCCAGGCTGTCTTGAACTCCTAGCCTCAAGTGATCCATCCACCTTAGCCTCCCAAAGTGCTGGGATGACAGGCATGAGGCACCACACGTGGCCATGGAACAAGGTTTTTTTTAATGCCATAAGCAGCCCTGGTTTCTTTCATACATGCGGCAGCTTCTTATTGAGGACTTACTATTTACCAGGCACTGTGTTAAAGCTCCAGAAATATACTGATAATTAAAAGAGACATAATCATCTCCTTCTACCCATACCCCTACCCTTACCACCTCACTTACAGTC